AGGATTGTAATCATTGTAAACAAATGTAGTAAATCTACTTTGTAACTTTACTCAATTCACACAAAAAAAGTTACAAAAATTTATAATGAAATATGCAAAGACCTGAAATTAGAAAACCAAAAGGGAACATGTTCAGCATTTCTCAATCTGAAAGAACTGAATTAAAAATTCAAATCTCGGCTTGAAATATTTAAAGATTCTTCCAGCAAAACACAGAATAATGCAGAAAGCATCAAAAGAAAATACAAGGTATACCCAGAGTCACTACCAAAAAGAAATGGTCAATGTTCAACCATTTCAAGAGGTAGCATGTGATCAAGAGCCAATGATATTGAAGGAGGAAGTCCGAGGTGCACTGAAGGCATTGGCAATGATTAAGTACCTGGGAATTGATAGAATACAAATTGAAATCTTTCAACAAACTGAGGCAGCACAGGAGGCACTCACTCATCCGTGCCAAGAAATATGGAAGACCTGCCCAACTGATTCGAAGAGATCTATATTTGTGCCCATTCCAAAAAAGAGGTGACCCAATGTAATGCAGAACTCATCGGACAATATTAATAATATTGCATGCAAGTAAAATTTTTCTAAAAATAATTCTAAAATGGCTGCAACAGTACATTGACAGGGAGCTGCCAGAGGTTCCAGTCAGAATCAGACAGGGATGTGGGAAGAGGCATATCACTGCTGACATGACATCAGCTGGATCTTAGCTGAAAGTAGAGAATACCAACATAAAGATGTTTTCCTGTGCTTTATTGACTACGCAATGGCTTTCGATTGTGAGGATATCATAACAAACTATGGACAACATTGTGGAGAATGAGTATTCTGGGACACTTAATTGTGCTCAGATAGACCAAGAGGCAGTCATTCTAACAGAATGAGGGACACTGAATGGTTTAAAATCAGGAAATGTGTGCACCAGGGTTGTATTATTTCATCATACTTACTCATTTTGCTTATATCAATCAACACTCCTGGAAGCAGCAATCGAGAAAGAAATCAAGTGACGTGCTGCATTAGGCAAATCTGTTGCAAAAGACTTCTTTAAATGTTGAAGAACAAAGATCTCAGTTTAAGGTGCACCTAACCCAAACTATAAGGAGCTCTGGTAGCGTACTGGTTATGGATCGGGCTGTGAACCGCAAGGTCAGCAGTTCAAAACTACCAGCTGTTCCGCGGGAGAAAGATGAGGCTTTCTGCTCCCGTAAAGATTTACAGCCTTGGAAACCCTGTACAGAGTAGCTATGAGTCAAAACTGACTCCATGGCACATACCACCACCCCAAACCATGGTATTTTCAATAGCCTCATATACAAGTGAAAGTTGGACAGTGAATAAGGAAGATCACAGAACAAATGATGCACTTGAGTTATGGTGTTGAAGGAAATTAAAAATACTATGGAATGCCAGAAGAACAAACAAATCTGTGTTAGTACAATCAGAATGCTCCTTAGATGCCAAGATGGCCAAATTGTGTCATACTTCAGACAGATTATCAGGAAGGACTAGTCCCTGGAAAAGGACATCATGCTTGGTAGAGTGGACAGTCAGATAGAGGAAGACCCCCAACGAGATGGATTGGCAGCAATGGGCTCAAACATAATGATTGAGATTGGTGTAGGGAGGACTAGGCAGCATCTCACTCTGTTGTGCGTAAGACTGCTATGAATTGGTACCGACTCCATGACACCTAACAGCTATAGATTTGGCATGCCAATGGATTTTTTCCTTGAGAATTGATCACATGGTAATTTTGGATTGCATCATGGACATTTTGAGTATTTTGTAAATATTTAGGTTCCATGAAAAAATCCCCTAAAAAAATGATACTTTAGTTTAACAGTTAATCAACCCAAAATGTAGACTCCAAGGTTTGTCTCACCATCTCTGAGCAGTGAGTTCAGTTGCAAAGTCACTGATATGCTGTTTTCTGTCCCACACATGTTAAGAGTCATGTTAAAACCTTTTCTGTATTGCTTTGGGGGAATGTGGTGGCTCCATATGCTAAGCACTGGACTGCAAACCACAAGGTCTACGGTTTGAGTCTGCCAACTGCCTCGAGGGAGAAAGATGAGGCTTTCTGCTCCCAAGATGTAAGGATCCAAAGCCCTCTACAAGCTCACTGAGTCAGACCCGACACCACAGCGCTTCACAACATTCTGGTTTGAGTCTAGCTCAGAGTTGGGTCCAGTACTTGTGTTATACAGGAACTATATAGGGAACCCCTTTTCCTCTGTGGGACTTCCACACATACAAAGTAGTTGGATTATAGCTGCCTTTGCCAACTCTACACAGTTGCTCTGAGTTGGAATCGATTCAATGGCACTAACAATAACATGCCTTCACTACAGCTTTCTCTCTAAGGAGGTCTTTTAAAATAGATTGGGCCAAACCAGAGAAAAGTTCATGAAAAAAAATCCCATTATCTTTTTTTTTTTTTTTAAAGTTTTTATTGTAAATTGAGTGATAGTTTACATGGGAGAGCATCGGTTTTACACTCATTGTTTCTCCGTGAATCATCATTCAACAGTATTTGCTTCTATTCCCTTTGGGGTCTTTTTTGGTGGGTGGGGAGATGTACAGAAAAACTTTCAGGAATACATAATCATTTAAACAACCAAAAGGCACGTTCTTGCAAGTCTGCCTCCTGGCAACCAGCACTCAGTCTTTCTCTTTCCATGAACCTAGAGTCCTCAGCTGCTCCCTCTCTCCGTGTCCTCATCTCTGCCTCCACCTCTGGTGTTGCTTCTCTGGATAGGGTCCCACATTTCACTCATGCTCTTCTCCCTTGATGGTCCTAGGGTCCTCTGTTCCTGGACTGTAAGATTAACTACTCCCCGCTTTCTGTTACAAAATGTCAGTTGTCCATTATCTTTTAGCTCCATTTTCCACATCTTTTTGAAGTCTTCTTATACCCCGGTGATTTTCCCACTTCACATTATTTCCTCTTCTGGTCTCTATTCAGGGGTTTCAGCTACCCAAGTCACATTAGTACAACTAATTTCTGTCCTGAGCAGGACTGGTGAGTGTTCCTCAGCTCCCAAGGGTCCCCTTTCCTGCCTCTGGCTGGTCAGATTTAACTGTGAAATCTAAAAGTGAAATTTCACTTTTTTTTTTTTCCTGCCTGCACCATCATGTAGCACAATGACCTCAGAGGTTAAGTCATGAAGGAAAAATATAGGAAAAGTCACCCTGGTATGGGTTGCTTCTCCTGCCTTTCTGCTTTTGGACTTTACCCTAGTTGGAATCAGCTGGCTTACTCCTAACAGGAGTTGGGAAGTAACTTTTGAGAACTGATCAATCTGCGCTGTTTTCACAAACACGGATGCTGCTTTTTCTAAAATGTTCTAAGTTTGCTCAAGTTGATGCTAGGAAACTTCAACTGACAACTTGTAAATCTGAGCCTGTTTTCTCACAAAAAAACTGCTTTCAGCAGTTTACTCAGATTCTAGTGGAGGAGGAGCTAGTTTAAAGAATTCATGAATTTGAGTTTATTTTCAAAGTGGTTTATTTCATTCAGATTTGCTTGAATGTATTTTTGAGATGATTATTTGGATCTTAGACTTTTTTATCTTCCCTAACAAAATTTTTTTTCTCATCTTTTGCTCAAACTCAGGCTGGGTTTCCGAGTTTGTATATCTGAGTTTATTTTCACAGGAATTGCTATTTTGGGTTTTGCTCTACTCACTTATATCATAAGGTTAGTTTTGATTTTTCTTTTAGTTAAACTTTCTATTGCAAATTGATTTATGGACAAGATCATCAGCTTTACATTCAACAAATCACAGTTAGTTTCATCTCAATAATTGAAATCCCCTCCATGGAACAATTATCTGCTTCTTCCCTGTGGTTCTTATTTGCATTCCACCCAGCTTCCCGACTGTCCTTAGGAAAATGTTGTCCTTTTCATTTTGAATGACTGATAATTCCACTGAGAGCATACCTTTCTAATGTTGTTGGGCCATGAAGGTGAGTTCCTTTCTAGACCTGAAGGGTGGGAGAGGGCCATGGTTTCAGATTCCTCTAGTCTCCTTCTGACCAGTAAATCCGTTCTTTTCCCTCCACTCTATTTGGGATTCTCTAATGGGGTTCGTTTCAGAGTAGTTGGTAGCGGTAGCTAGGCACCATCTAGTTCTTCTGATCTCAAGAGTCTTGGAGACTGATGTTCACATGTTCCATGAGTCCAGTGGACTGACTGATTTCAAGCCTCTTCAATCCTTATCACTGTTCTCCTGCTCATGGAGAGAACAATAGCTGCACCTTAGACGTCTGCCCACTTATTTCAGGATCCCAGGCACGACTCTCTCACACAGGATGTAGAACATTGTCTTTATGGACTGTGTTGTGCCAACTGACCATGGTGTCCCCTGAAACTATGGTCCTGAGCCCCAAAGCCCATCAACTCATTGCCTTAAGCAGTTTGATAATATCTAGACGTGTTTGTTTTTGCTTGCTGTATGCTTTATGCTGTGAACAATGAGCTAGTAGACTCTGTTATGCTAAATATGGCCTACAATGTGCATGTGTTTACTTGTGTCCTGGCTCGTATTTCTTGTGGATATATACCAAGTAGAGGGATTGCTGGGTCACAACGTATTTCTAATTTCAAGTTACTGAGGAAGCATCATACCGTTTTCCAAACTGGTTGAAATATTTTACAGTCCCACCAATAATTTAGGAGGGTCCCAGTTTCGCCACTTTCTCACCAGCCTTTATTTTTATGAAACACTAGATATGGTCAAGCTCAAGTTGGGAAGACACTGTTAAACTGTTTTGCTTCCTCTATCTGTGCCAAAATTCAACTGAAAAATTTCTCTTGAAGAGAATGTGTGAATATGAGTAAAA